AGCTTCTGGAGGCGAGGGGGGGGGGAGTCGAAGAGAATCTTCTATAGTAAAACAACTGCTATCTGTACCCCACTAAGGGGCGAAACATCCATCGTCTCCTTGGATCCGCCAATGGCCACTTATTTTTGAATCATTTCTCACACTGCCCTAATCTTATACGATTTTACTACGCACAGTCATCATATTCGTGCCAGAATTCGGAGGCTGTACTGATGATTCCCACTTCTACCCGCATGCTGCGTTTGCTATGAGTTTTACGCTTTTCTCATTTACAACTGAAAGCAAAAAGTAAAATATGACTGTTAGATGAACATACTGCTCGATCACAGATGCTGTCGTTTGCTTCGACAACTCGCTCAAGCAGCTCATCCAGATCATCGATTCGCATTGGTACCACTGATCGACAACCTGCATTTCGCAGCACCTTACGTAGCCTAAAAATTGGAAAATCTTCATATCTCTAATCCAGGAAAAAAAAGATTAAAAAATTCAACGTAAATGATCACCGTAACAGGCTCTCAATGAAAAAAAAATCGAAAAAATCTTCATATTTCCAATTCGAGAAAAAAAAAGGTTAAAAAATTCAACGTAAATTGTCACCATAACAGGCCCTTAATGAAAAAAAAAAATTCGAAAATCTTCATATCTCCAATTCAGGAAAAAAAAAGGTTAAAAAATTCGGCGTAAACGGTCAGTGTAACAAGCCCTTAATGCCAAAAAAAATTCGAAAATCTTCATATCTCTAATCCAAGGAAAAAAAGATTGAAAAATTCAACGTAAATTGTCACCGCAACAGGCCCTTAATGTCAAAAAAAAATTCGAAAATCTTCATATCTCCGACTCAGGTAAAAAAAAAAAAAAGAAAAAATTCAACGTAAATGATCACCGTAACAAGCCCTCAATGTAAAAAAAAAAAAAAAAAAAAAAGGGAAAATTTTACGTAAATCGTTACCATAAAGCAGAAAATAAAAATTTCAAGTTCATTTTTTCATTGGCTAATATCTGTGTTTATCAACACAAAAAAAGATGTTTCGTTTCTTGTGGTACTTGGTTCATATGCAAAATCCAGGCGTAAGGGAACGATGATTTTAAATTGTTTGGATGGTACGTGGTCTAAGAATATCCTCGCAAAATTTCAACTTTCTAGCTTTTGCGGCTGATGAATTGAATGTAACAAAAAATCGTACAGACACGTGCACACAGGCACACAAACACGCACGCAGACATATACGCATACAAAGGCACACATGCACACAGATAAAATGCACATATATACAGACACACACACGTACAGACACATACAGACACACAGACACACCCATAGACACGCACGCGCAAACATACACGCACATAGACGGACACATACACGTAGAGACACACACACATATATATAGACACACACACTCATATAGACACACACACTCATATAGACACACACACTCATATAGACACACACTCATATGGACACACACTCATATAGACACGCTCACTCATATAGAAACACACACTCACATAGATGCACACACTCATATAGACACACACACTCATATAGACACACACACTCATATAGACACACACACTCATATAGACACACACACACACTCATCTAGGCACACACACACTCATATAGACATACACACTCATGTAGACACACATACACTCATATAGACACACACACTCATATAGACACATACACACTCATATAGACACACACACTCATACAGACACACACACTCATATAGACACACACACATATAGATACACACACAAACACACACATACATATATGTACACATACTTCGACAACCTCTCGACAATATACGTTTTTGCATTCGAACTAAGATGCAAAAATTCATAAAGAAAATGCTTCGCCTGCAAAAAAAAGCAGTTTTACGCACAGGACAGTGATTCTCCGTTGTTGCTCGGTCATAAGATTTACATAGGCTGGAAAGCTCGCATACAGCTCATATCCTTCGGCTCGCATCGATAATGCATTTGCTTCTCCAACAGCTTGCACCGCACTTGTCTTCAGCTTCTAAAGTAAAAAAAAAACTCCAGCAATAACACTGGGATGACATGGCATCATGTTCTTATGTGGCTCGAATTCACGATTATTCGTCTTTTTTTTTTTGTCGAAAAAGCTTCCCACCACTTTAGGGTAACTAACGGCCAGACAAACTGCGAAAATGAAACTTTGCATGGATATTCTATATTCACGTGTGGTCTTAATTCAGTTTGGAAGTGAAATTCTCTACACGCAGATAAGATTGCGGTAGAAAAGATGCCGCATCTTACTACCACAAGTAGAAAGTAGTATTTTCTCCTTTCTTCGCCAAAATTAAATGCGCGAAATCATAGTGCCAGTAACGGATGGTTATGCGAGAGATCTACATCTAAATAAAGTACCTTTCTTGACCAATTCGGTATAATTTCAGAAAATGAGGCATAATTTTTATGCAGATATATGCAACCCCCGCTATCACCGCTCCCCCTATGAAGCTACCTATAAAAGCAGTGATTGGGCAAATTTCAACGAAAATACGTGGAAAAGGCAAATAAACGAAAATAAGGTCCAAGAGGAGGAAAATCACTAATTTTGAAGCATTTTTCAAAAAAAATCGAGCACTCACATTTCATTTTTAAGGATTAATAGATTTGTAGAAATACAAAAATAAACACAGCTGAAGTTATATAAGATTGAAACCCGCGAAATCTGATGTTAAGGATCAGAAGATGCAAAAATTTAAGTATTTAAAGAGTCGTTTCCCACCCAATATTTTCTCTTTTCCCGCAAACCTAGCGCTATCATTGTTGCTTTATCGTTATCATCGTTGTTATCAGATTATCACGGAATTATCGTCATCACTATCGCTACGAGATTATCACGGAATTATCGTTATCATTTTTAGATTATCACAGCATTATCGTTATCACTATCGTTACTAAATTATCACAGCATTATCGTTATCACTATTGTTATTAGATTATCACAGCATTATCGTTATCAAATTACTTTCGCTATCATTATGGGATTATCGTTATCACTATCACTATCGCTATCAGATTATCGTTATCACAAATGATATTCTTTCGCAAAATCGGAATAGGCCCTGTTCCATAAAGAATATAGTCTACTGTTAAACATTCGCGATTTTGTCCTCCAATCATCAACGGGTAATACGAGAAACGTAGGTAAATTGAACGGTATACTATTCCATCTTTGCAAATTTTTGTTCGAAAATAATTCCTGGTTCCCCGCTCAGCACGTCCGCCCAGGTATTTTCCAACTGGGCAAGCTCCGGCGCCAAAATTTTGCCAGTGGGTTCCCCGGCCAAGTGCCACCCCAGGACTGCAGTATCAATCCCCAAGCCCGTCCGGGCTCTCCGTACGAGCATGTGAAAGTTTTGGCGGGAAAATACGGGAGGGGAAGGGGAAGAAAACAAAGGCATGTATCTTATCGCAAAAAAACCCCCAACCAAGAAGCATTCGTTTTTTTCAAAAAAAGAATCTTAAAAATCATAAGAATAATACCACAAGAATCATACCTTTATTGCTTCCATAAGATCATCGTGAGTATCGCTGGCACCTTTCCCACTCATTTTCAAAAATTCTGGAAAAATGAGAAATTCCTATTACTTTTGTAAAATCAGCTATTTTCAGCCCACGGGACATTCCAGACAAAAATGCGACAACAACCGAACGCTAGGAAATTTATTAATATAAAACAACCAAAAATCGAGGCCTACTGCACGATCTGCAAATCCGGGGAATCCACACGTTTTTTTTTGGGTCACAAACTGTCTCGAAAATTGTTCTGGACCGGCGCGGAATCGAACCACTACCTTTCACACACACCAAAAACCACACCTAAAAACCTGCCTTGCTAAAAACCTGCCTTGTGCGCGCTTAATACCGTAAATCATCGTAAATTTTGCATAAACGAAAATAAACAATTCTCATTTAACGGTCGTTTTATGCGTTTTGTGCTGTGTAACAGCAGTACAAAACGCATAATGTCACGGAGTTGTCTGTGCGTGTGTGTGTTTGTGTGTGTCCCACATTTTGTCCCGCACTTTCAACTCGAGAACCACAAAAGCTAGGCGGCTGAAATTTTGGTATAGTGCTCTATTTGTCTCGCACTTTTAACTCGGGAACCACAAAAGCTAAGCGGCTGAAATTTTGGTATAGTGTTCCCCGCCAACGGGTGACGCGGCAAATTTAAATTCAGCCTTCCCGTACCCGCGGGTAACTCGTACGGCCCCGTGAAAGTTTTTTACGGGTAAATCAATATCTCAGGAACCACGGAGTCTAGGAGGCTGAAATTTTAGGGCAATGACCCCCTGCCCACGCTCAACCTTGCCTATTCAAATTCAGCGTTTGTTGAGTATCATCTACGGTCTCGTGAGAATTTTGGCAGCAAACTATTAACTAGGGAATCACGGGAAAATATTCACCCTTCAAGGTTTCGAATTGAGCTTTCTTGCGCTGGTGCGTGAAACTTTTAACAATTTTCCAATTTTTGAACTATTTTCGCATAGACTAAAGTACAAAGCAGTGAAAATCATTAATGGGCAATCGTTCAATGAGTTGAATTGCACAAAACGCATGATCGCACCGGCTAGTCTGGTGCGCGTTGCTATTTATTTAAAAATGACCCAGCTGTTCAATGAGTAATTTTTCACAAAAAAACACCACACCATAAATTGTACAACCTTCGCAACCCAAACTCAAAAGCGAGTGCATATAGCACGGGTCGACCAGAAGAGATTTAACAGTTGCGCGCGGGACGTTCAGCCCCAAGTGTGCGTGAATTTGGCGTGGTGCCAAATTTATGGTTGGCTGCATACGTGGCCCACGTCGTGGGCTATGAGGTTGTGTGGGTGTGTGTCCCATGTATCCCCGGCAAAAACCAGCAGCACGGTTCCTCCTGCTTTCCATCCATCATATCCTTTCCTAAGCCCTTATGTGGCTTAGGCAACTGCCAAAGGATCCACGCCACGTGTTCACTCAGTCTGCCCAACCAACCCCCTTCATCCTGCCGCCAAGATCCTACGCCCTGCCCCCGCACATAGCACCACCTCATCACCACTGCAGCGTGCTTTACCGCGCTGGGGAAAGGATACCCGAAAAAATCGTTCGCAGATATCGTGTGTATGGCGCCGGCCGAGCCGAGCCGAGCCGAGATTTAATAGTTGCCCGTGTTTTGCGGTAAATCGAGGTGCCCTGTTGGCCTACGTGGATCTTCTACGGGCCTCTACTTCCAATTCCCGCGCCCGAATCTCTCATCACGTCCCTGTCTGTGGCATCCAGCGTCCACCGCTGCGGTGTGGTAAGGATACCCGAAAAAATCGACCCAGCCGAGCCGAGATTTAGCAGTTGCGCGTGTTTTGCGGTAAATCGAGCTACCCTGCTGGCTTACGTGGATCTTTTGTAACGGGCCTTTACTTCCAATCCCCGCGTCCGAATCTCTCATCACCTCCCCATCTGCGGCATCCAGCGTCCTTCGCTGCAGTGTGGTAAGGACACCCGAAAAAATCGGCCGAGCCGAGCCGAGATTCAGTAGTTGCCCGTGTTTTGCGGTAAATCGAGCTGCCCTGCTGGCTTACGTGGATCCTCTACTGCAGCGATGGGGGTGGGCTTCACGTATTGAGTTCCTTATTCCTGATATGTCTGATTCGCTGTTTCAGCTGGAATGTTTGGGCTGAGGGGCGCATGACGAGGCGAAGGCAGCGTTCGCTGGGGAGGGGGCAGCTGATGGCGGGGACCACTGCCGCGGCTCCCCCTCCGCTGCCCTCATCCCCCCTCCAGCAGAAGGTGCTGTGGAACGAGCCAGCCCCAGAATCGTTCGCGAAACTCTACGTGCCCAGTGGACAGATGGACATCGAATGGCAACCAACCATGGCCTCCGTCTTCAAGGTACTTTTCATGTCTTATTACTGCACCAAAATGGGCATATTTACCCGTCCGCTCGGGTATATTTACCCGACTACTAGGGTATATTTACCCGACTACTCGGGTATGTTTTTTTTCGTGTACTTGTGTGTTTAACACATTCTCAGCTTTACGACAGACCAACTGGGAGCCTGAAAGTTTGGGAATTTTGTCCTAAAATAATTGGCCAGCGCACGGGCTGCCCGTGCGAAGATGCGTTTTTTGCATAAGTTCCCTGCAGCTTTTGTTGCTACCGGCACCGGTTTTTTTCGGCAAATGCTTCAAGCTAAACAAATTAAGACTGGCCGCCAGAACTCTCAGGAAACACCCCCTTAAAATTTCAGATTTTTAGCTTTTTTGGCTCCTGAGTTAGCAACTTACTGGAAAAAACTTTCACGAGCCCGTACGTGGGTACCTTGCGTACCCGGAGACTGGTTTGAAGCTCATTAAGACTTACGTGGACGAGAATATCCCCTTAAGATTTCAGCCTTCTATCTTTTCTGATCCCTGAGTTGTCAACTTGCCCGAAAAAAATTTTCACGGGCCCGTATGTGGTACCACGCTTACCAGGGGCTGGGTTTGAGCTCATTAATACCTACTCGGACGGGGAATATCCCTTAAGATTTCAACTTTCTAGCTTCTCAGATCCTCGAGTTATCAACTTACCCGGAAAGAATTTCACGGGCCGTACGTGGGTAACACGCTCGCCCGGGGGCTTAATCATATCTGCCAGTGGCTCGTTTTGAAACTGTGCGTCTCAAAGGGTGTAGTGTCCCTATTGGTTTTTATATTGAGCACAAAATAGCAAGATTTATTCGTCTTGACACTTGTTAGTAAAGTTAGTTGAAGTTCGAATTGCATTTTAGATTCTTTTTTCGTTCCGTGTTGCGGCAGCGATGTGGAGTACAATCAGCGATTGCGATGAAGTTTATAATTATTGGGAACCTCTGCATCTGTTTCTCTACGGCACTGGCTTCCAGACCTGGGAATATTCACCCGTCTATGCCATACGGTACATTTTAGTGGATTTTTGTTAAAATTTTTAAAAAAAATCCTTCCGTATTGATAGAAAAACTTAAGTTTTTGAAAAAAGAAAACTGCTTTTTTCCACCGTATATTTTGAAAAAATGAAGGCATTTGACGAAAGCTGGAGAAGTACAGTTTTTACAGTAACAACCATCGTTTGCTAACGATTTTCGTCTTCCTGTTTTCCCGTCCAACTTCCCTCTGTCCCCAAAAAAAGTAAAATATTCGAACAGAACATGTTAGTTACTGTCTGATTGGCTTAAACCGTACAGTTTCAAAGCTTTATAACAATAGTTATTATTGCAACATAAAACAAATCTCCGGCCAGGAGTCTAGTGGTTTTCCACATTTGCTTTCTGTGAGAGACGGAGGCACGCGAAAATTAACCTTAGCAGTAATAATAAGTCGTCTTATGCACGTCCTAGTTATGCCACCCAGTGCCGGTTCAGCCCCTACATTTCCAAATTCCATCTGCCCATAGCGCCCAAACGGCCCGTGGGTCTTTTTCTTACGTTAAAAAAGGACTGTGAAGTGATTTGTTTTGTTAGTTACGAACCTCGAATTGTGGAAATTCTGAGCTGTGTGTGCAAGCACTCGCTCAAATTAACACCTCAAACAATTTCTGTCCTTAAAGATCGAAAATCATTCCTTCGTCCTTAAAAATCTTAATAATCTTGAAATCTTATCTTAAAACCTTATAATAATGATCTTAAAATCTTAATTATTAAAATTTTAAAATCTTAAAAATCTTAAAATCTTAGAAATCCTTAAAGCCCTTCAAAGTCAAATTCCATATTGCCGTTCAAACTGATTCTTCCGCCGCTTTGGCGTTTGTGCTTGTTATTCAAAATATCGGTATTGGCGAGCAGAACTGCGACCGATGTCATTTTGGAGGGAGGCGAGAGGGGGGCGAGGAGATACGAGTTAACGATGATTTTTTTGGATGGCAACAGTTTAGGAAATCATGATTATCTTAATTTTATCGTGATTCTGTCGTGACTTTTCCAGTGCAATTTTTTGCAGTTCATACCTTTATGTATTGCTGCATTATGCTCCAGCAAAAGTGCTGCAGAGGATATTCTGGGGCAACAAGATAGCTGTTTTCATCACAATGCGTTGTATTTTGGGTCTGTTCAGTGCCGGTGCCGATTTGGCAATGTACAGGGCGCTTTGCGCACGTTTTGGCAACGGAATCGCACGAATTTACATTGCCCTTACTACTCTTTCAACAGGCATGTTCATTTCCAGGTAATTTCTCTTTCATTCTATTAGCCAAAAAATTTTCAAAAGTACTTGCTTTACTTGGAAAAACCAATCCCTCTACGGTTCCTTCATTCATTCGTTTCGATGGTAAATTGGTAAGCAGGCATATGCCAGAAAATTAAACTCACCATCAGCTTGCTTGTAAACAACTTTGGAGAAAAGAACCGTTTTTGACAGTTTTACCAGCGAGTGGTTGCTGTTTACATTTGCTACCACTCGGGCCACTTTTCGAATGCCTTCGGCTCTCACTGAAAACGGAAGCGGAGAGGGCATTTACGGTCAGTTCATTCGTTTCGATGGTAAATTGGTAAGTGAGCATATGCCAGGAGGAAGTTAAATTCATTATCAGCTTGCTTGTAACAAGTTTGGAAAAAAGGACCGTTTTTGACAGTTTTGCCAGCGAGTGGTCGCTGCTGACATTTGCTATCACTCGGGCTATTTTTCGAATGCCTTCGGCTCTCACTGTAAGCGAAAACGAAGAGGATTCTTGAATTTTTTGATTTGTTTTGTTTCAGTGCAGCCTAAGTGCTCATTCTGGATGCCATTCTTAAGCCTTTAATATGTATGAGTGATGCTTAGAGTTATTGGGAATTAGCCAGTAGCCCTTGCCATCCAGAAGTCCCTGCCGTTGAGTTTCATCATTTACTGTAGCTCTACAAACCTACGAAACGCGCCCCATGAAAAAGAAAAGAGATAATTTTAAAAGGATATTATGAGCCCCTGACGTGATAATATGATAATAGAAAGTTATAACGGGAAAGAATGGAAAAAAGAGGAAAAAAGGGAAAGGAAGGTGAGAAGTGAAAATTAGAAATTTTATGAGATTATTATAATTGTACGAAGTGTTTCGGTGCATTAAGTCGTATACATTTCTTACCATTACCACATCTGGACCTCGTCAGTACCACGATTGTGATAATTGAAATTAATGAAAGTTAGGGTTGAATTAATTGTGTGATGCATTCAAAATTACTCTGTCCATGTTAATATGCCGCAGCGGAGAGATTCATCAGTACAGCCTCCAATATCTCATCATGAAGCGAACCAAAAAAAAGCGTAAAAATGGAAAAAACTTCACATCTTCGCTGATGATTCAGAAATTAAACGCCTAGTGAGCAATTTGTTCTCATAAAAACCTCTTCCTAATAATTGCATATAGTGATTGTCCGTATCATTTGTTAATTTCCCTTCTTTTCTTCCTCTCTCACTCTCTTGCTCATTCACTTATAACTTTTTCTTTCTCCATGTTGCAAATTAGTTGCATGACTGTTCATAACATGACGGGTGGGAGGCTATACTGACGATTCCCGCTCCTACCCGCATGCATAGTTCGGTCTGTGTATACAGCTAAGGGATAAAACACAGAATTCCGAGACAGTAAAATGTCCTTCGGCATATGACCCTCAAGACCAATCCTTCCATTCTACTATTTCAAACGTGGCCGATCTAGCAGTGTAATTACTGCAAAGTTGCCAGTATCACACTCACAGACATAAAATTGCACAGGAGTTTATAGCCAGAAGCGCAGAGTGAGCTGCCCAAACTTGCTTTTTTTTGCTTTTTTTTGGCCAACCACACGTTTGTTTGACTGTAAAATTATTGCAGCTGTGCTTTCCTTCCATCATCGTTCAGCATGTCTGCAAATCTGTTCGCGCTGGCAGCCTATATCACTGAAGATTGGTAAGTCTTTTCTCTTGGGATGATAAGTACTGGCCATTAGAAGGCCA